CGTCGCGCTTAGCCACTACCCGAAGAATTATATGAAAGAAACTCTAAATGCCAAACACTTTTAAGTTTATACACATTAATTATGCCGTAATGTCAGTCTTTTTTATTATAGAGTATCGATGACGCCATATCTTTTGAGTTAAGGGGGAGGGGGGGGGGGGGAAAGGTGGCTTAGATGTTCTACCGGGGGCAGGGCTTCGCCCCTACCTGAAGAATTGTATGAAAGAAACTCTTCACGCAAGCCACTTAGATTAGACAAAATTGCCTTTTTACAAGCTTTTATTTAACTCACTTCCTCTGTCTGTCGCCAGTCGTCAGTCGCCAGTCGTAAGTCTAGATAGAAACGCTGGAGTTAAAATTCGGACAGTTCTACTTGACCGACACGATTCACAGTTGGCACGTGGGTCAAGACATGAAGACAATGCAATCTGAAACTAAATTTGACTTAATTGGATGCCTAATTAATTTTTTATTAATTAATTAAAATTTGGACCGAATTAGTAGGCATGTCTAGCCAACCACACCACACGCGTCATCACCTTCAATAGCTGCGCCATCACGTAATGGCTGCGTTCAAAAACCATTGCGCGACTACTGAACGTGATGTTCAGTAGGCGCGCAATGGTTTTTAGTCATGTAACTCTATTGTAAATAAAACATGTAAAGTACTGAAAAAAAAATTCATAAAAAAAGTTTTAATAACAAGCTTTTATGTAACAATGCACTAAAAAGTAGAAAATAAATTATAGACTACTATTTAAATAACTATAAAGAAAAGCGTGGGTCACTTTAGTATCTATTGGATACCTTTACTAATGTTAAGGAAGACACCCACGCTTTTCTTTATAGTTATTTAAATAGTAGTCTATAATTTATTTTCTACTTTTTAGTGCATTGTTACATAAAAGCTTGTTATTAAAACGTTTTTTATGAATTTTTTTTACAAGCTTTTATTTAACTCACTTCCTCTGTCTGTCGTCAGTCATCAGTCTAGATAGAAACGCACGAGTGAAAATTCGGACAGTTCTACTTGACCGATACGATTCACACTTGGAACGTAGGTCAAGACATGAAGACAATGCAATCTGAAATTAAATTTGACTTAATTGGATGCCTAATTAATTTTTTATGAATTAATTAAAATTTGGACCGAATTAGTAGGCATGTCTAGCCAACCATACCACATGCGTCATCACGTTTAATAGCTGCGCCATCACGGTACGTTCAATAGCTGCGCCACCACGTTCAGTAGGCGCGCAATGGTTTTTAGTCATGTAACTCTATTGTAAATAAAACATGTAAAGTACTGAAAAAAAATTTCATAAAAAACGTTTTAATAACAAGCTTTTATGTAATAATGCACTAAAACTTTTTAGTGCATCATTACATAAAAGCTTGTTATTAAAACGTTTTTTATGAATTTTTTTTTCAATGTTTACTCGGGAATCAATGACGTCATATTACTCAGGCTTGATATTATTTTCTACTCTATGCTCAATATGACGTCATATTTCATTTTCGTTTCACTGTGAAAGTTTTTAAATTGCTTGTGTTTAACTGTTTTCTCTAGAGCGTTCTTGTCAGATAGATACATAGATAGATAGATACACAGACAGCGAAACTATTACATAGAATAGTTACTATTTAGTAAGTTTGTAAATAAATAGTAAATAGCAGGCCTATAGTATAGTAAATTTAATAAAAAAAAGGTTCCTATCTGAAAGTTAGAGTGGCTTCCCCTGAATTTTGCACAATAAGTTTATGATAAGAAAAAATAAACAAGATGAGCATGGTTGCATCTGTTGGGAACATCGATAGTTTTCATTTAGGCTGCTAATACTGAATAGTTTTGATTAAATTGTTTAAAAACATATACATAAATGAAACAAGAAAACATTTTTGTATTTTTCAAAACATAAATCCTCCCCAAAATATGAAAGAACTATTAAAATTTAAGGACTCACCTGTTTTCACATTACTAGTGGCGGGCGATTTTACGTACCCTCATTCTAGCCCTAACCCTAGGTCACTGCGCATGCGCAGAGCTATCTTTTGCCGACCAAGTGGAGACGTTGGGGAGAAAAATCTTCTTCCAAGTAGTTACTTGGTAAAATTTAAGTTGTCACCTGTTTTTCACATTACTAGTCGCTGGCGATTTTACGTATCTAAAATGATAGATTACCTGTAAGCCTCCCTTGCCCTAGAATCTAGATTTTCTAGAACTAGATAGATCTAGATTCTAGAATTATAATTTATTAGTAGATCTAGAAATCTAGAGATTTAGATAGATCTAGATCTAGGTGAGTAGAGTAGTAGATCTATTAGTAGCCTACTAATACTCTAATAATATTAATAACTAATAAATAAAGTAAAGTAGTTAGAATCTAAGAAATACTAAGACTTAGTCTAAGTAACTAAGAATCTATAATCTATATCTAGTAGTTAGTTATTAATTAAGTTTGAGTTAGGCCTAAGTAGTTAAGTAGAGATTGGGACTCATTTCTGGTCATTTCAGATTATGCAGAAAGATCAAACTTTTTTTTTACAAACATTTATTTTATATTTATAGATCTAGATTCTAGATCTACTTTTACTTTAGCCTTAGTTTAGATAGGCTTTTCAATTCGTGAAGTCTCGGTCTCGCGGTTTCGTGGCCACCGTGTTTTGGGCGGACATATAAAATATCTAATCATTTCGTTCTCATGAAGTACAAGATACTTATAAATAAAGATCGTATCGTAATCGGATAGATTTGTATCGAAACTGCCCATGTATTTACGGGGCAAATAATTCTGATTTCTTGGAAAATCACTCTTATAATGTCTTATATAGCTTGTGCTTAAAGTCAAAATAAACTAAAGCAGGTGCTTTTTTGTTTGTACATAATGTTTTAACATCTTCACTTTGATGTAAAAATAGAATTGTATAAAAAAAATCAACGGTCGAAACAAACCATTGCCCGTACAAATGACCAAATTAAAAACCTCATAGGACGCCATTTTATAATCTAAACGCCGATTCCGGAAAAGGTGAAGGATTTTAGTTTTGACGGACTGATTGATTGAGTAATAATAAAAACACACTGACGTAGTGGGGTAAAATTGTGCCGATGGCTGAGAAAGTTAGATGAGAAGATCTCATAATAACAGGGCCTAATAATCTAATATTAATATATAATATTTTTAATAGTCATCATAACTCTTCTCTTAGCTAGTTAATTATTAATTACTAGTGCTTCTCGCTAAGTTGGAGGCGTGGTCGGTTGCTAACAACAATATGGCGTCTGGACCGGACGCATGATTTCCGACGAAATTTTGGCCAAATTCCAGAGACCTTTTAGCCTTTTACGAATTACTTTTAAAAATGTTTACCACGAGCAAATTGGCGGGGTTTTCACACTATAACAACAAACAATAGGTGGCAAGGCTATATATGCCAGAAAAGCATTTCAAAATTTGCGTTGTAGAATGAAGGCTAAATTTAAAAGTTGGTTTCATTAAACATACTACTTTTTCAATAGGCCGATTCTAGCCGGAATAAGATACACATGCGCAATGGAGAGAACCTACGACTTGCCTTAGCGGCGATGTTTTCGATGGTACTGCGCATGCGTGTGTTTACAACCGCAGAACCCTAACACCAACCCTAATCCTATCCTTAACCCTATCCCTAACCCTAGCCCTAATCCTTTCCCTAACCCTCATTTTAACCCTAGCCATAGGTCACTGCGCATGCGCAGAGCTATCTTTTGCCGATTAAGTGGAGACGTTGGGGAGAAAAATCTTCTTCCGAGTAGACACTTTGTTTTTAATATCAACCTGAAAAGTACAAAAATGAAATGAAGTCTGTAGAACTAATAGGTTTATCAGTCTATGTAAAAAGAAATCAAATATAGCTAACCACTTTTATATAAACGATGGCTTTTGAATGACAACCAAATTTATTTATTTTTTTAAACCATGTGACCGCTATTTGATGATCACTAGTGGGGAACTCTGGGTACATGGCCACTTAAAAAGTCTAACCTGATTTGTGGTTTTTTTTAGCTTCAAGCGTAAGAAGAGTTGTCATGGATAGATGTGTTGGGCATGGCAGTGAGTGTCAATGAATATTAAATTAAGTAATTTAGTTTAAAACGAACTAAAACCTTCAAAATTAGTGCCTAATAGATTAAATATGGATGTCTATCATTCAATAGTCGTGTTTAATTTGAACTTTGGGTAAATTCTAGATTTAGTAATAAAAACTATTAACTACATACCACTTCCAACCGTTTAGTGAGACTTGTCCAGTATTTATATTTATTTTATCCTGGATAGTCTGCTCAAATACTGGACTGTCCAGCTCAAAACTGGACACCTGGCAACCCTATGTGCGGGACACTGAAAATACTGTAGTTAAGGCTATTAAAACAATCTTAGAGGTGAAATGGGGGTGATCTCAGCTGGGGTAACGATTTTAGTGTTTTAACCTCGCTGAGTACATCTACGACTTGAACTAGACTAGCCTAGATCTAGATGCTCTATATTTCAAGCTAAGCCTAGAATCTGTATACTTTCTATTTTTTTCTGTTGTTTTAAATTATTTCGATCATCTACCTCTTCCAAATCTAGTTTGTGTCTCTCATCCAATCATATGTTAAGCAAATGTTAAGTTATGTCTTGTTAGTGATTGTTACATCCCTTTGTTATGATTGTTATAGTTGCGTCCCTTGAGTATCACTGGGTCATCCGTAATGTGTAGTTAATAAATTTAATTAACATGTTTTTTATTTGGTTTTGCAATCTTTAATTAATTATACAATCAACAACACGTTTAAATGTGTAAAATGTTAATTCAGTTAACATTTTACACATTTAAACGTGTTGTTGATTGTATAAAATTGTTAAAATTGGATCAAAACGTAAAAAATATGCTAGTGATCCCAAGCAGGGACATGTGATCTCAAGCAAAAAAAAAAGTGGGAAAAGTTGATCCCAAGCAGGTTCGTCACTAAAACATGAATATCTCAAATACTATGCGTATGAATACAAAATACTTCATGCATATTAGAGTAGAATGGCAGTGGAGTAATAAAGTACTTTCGGTTTGTTTCTGTGTGAAACGGTTACAAAATAGCGCCCGATAAAAATCAGGAGTTCGGAATTTTTCGCTATGTGTGATCTCACGTGGAACTTTACTCTAGCTTCTTTTATATTTTAATAAGTAAAAAAGAGCAAATAGTAAAATATCTTTTTTTTTTACATTTGTATCTGATACATAGTCAATCTATATTCAATATAAACTACTACTAGATCTAGTAATTAGGCTACTAAAAGTGCCTTTAGCATGATCACATATTAGTAGTACTACTAGATCTAGTCAGTCAATATTACAAGTAAGCACATTATTGTAAAATGTAGTATGTTCTAGTTGTAATATTTCTGCTATTCAACTAAGCCAGGTAAACCCACTATTCATATCTTATCTTGGATATGGATGTAGGTAATAAAAAATATTCAATGCAGCAGTAATCAGACCCTCAACACTTACCCATTGGATATGGGTGTAGGTAATGCAAATATTCAATGCAGCAGTAATCAGACCCTCAACACTTACCCATTGGATATTAGCTGTCAACATTAACATTAATTTGAATTTTAAAATGCACTGACCTGCACAAAGTGTTATTTTTTTAAATTAATTTTATCTAGTTCATTAAGATATGCTTCTTTTGTTGTTGCCATTCAACTTTTTTAAGGTTCAGTTTGTAAATTTTTAAATATAAAACAAATAAAATCAATTCATTTATTCTGGGTTTTTTTATTGATAATTTTACTACATTAGAAAAAGTTTTGCATATCCGTCCATACAATTGGAGCAGGTGGCAATAATTATAATCAGTCCACCTTGGTCACTCAAAATCCATGGCTCAACACAAAGGCTTTTATAATGCTTTCAGTGAATACCCAGACCTGCAAAATAAATCAAGTAGGCTTACAAATTACCCTGCTGTGGCTATAATTATAAATAGAATTCAAGCAATTAAAATTATTGATGTCTGCTGTAAGTTAACTGGGTATGAATAATTAAAAAAAACATATTTAGGCCCATTATTAAATATAGTAATATATCTTCTTCTTCTTAATCCTCATCACTCCCTGTGGAGTATAGGGCAACAACAAATCTCCGCCATTCCACCCTGTCCTGGTCGAGCCACTTTAGTTCATGCCAGGTTTTGCCGGTATTCTGTACTTCTTCTTCCATCTCCCTCCTCCATGTTCCCAGTGGTCTTCCTCTACTTCTCTTTCCGGGTGGGTTCCACTTCAGCGCCATGTTGGGGAGTCTTTTTTTGCTCATGCGTAGGACATGGCCCAGCCATCTCCATCTCCTCGTTCTAACTTCTGAGACAATGTCGTTTAATCCTGTCCTTCGCCATATTTCCTTGTTCGGGACTTTGTCGTCCCACTTTATCCTGAGGATGCGTTGGAGGGATCTTCTTTCAAAGCCTCTGAGTCGGCTGTCTACTTTCTTGTTTAGTTTCCATGACTCTGCAGCATAGAGGAGTACAGAACGTACATTAGACTTATAGATCCTTATTTTAGTTCTCTGCTGCAGTGAGGATGATTTCCAGATCTTAGCGAGTCTGTTGAAAGCTTGTGCTGCCATTGCTATTCTGGTGGCAATTTCTTTCTCCATGCTGCCATTTGCTGATATATAGCTGCCGAGGTACTTAAAGTCTTCGACCTCTTCTAGCTCTGCTAGTAATATATAGTCTAAATATTTTGAGTAGCAAATATAAGTGCTAACATTATTTTATAGTATTAGTCTAGGAATCCAGTAAATTCAGAGGACAAGGCAAAATTTAAAAAATTGTGTGATCTTAAGTCATGCTTTAAAATTTAAGTTTTAACAGTGTTCATCAAGTAAATGGTGTTTCATAGTTAATGTAGTGTGACTTGAGTTAATCATCTAGATCTATCTACTGAGTATCTAACACTTTAACAGTGTGACAGCTTACAAGTGTATTACTGGGCACTAGAATATAATAAATTACTAGATCTAAATAATAAAGAATGATCTTACTTTGGCCACAACTACTAGCCCTAGGCTTCCAATATCTTCATAAATAATCACAAGTCCATCTGTTAAGTCACGTTAAGTGCATTTTTGCGTATTTAAGATGAACTAGTATATGGTATATAGCTAAATCTAAATTCTAGAATCTTGGGTATTCTTGAGGCTGACTCTCTGGAGTTGTGGTTTTCACTTTTGATTGGATAGATTCAGATAGATGTTTACATTTTTGTCAGTTATTTATTATTATTCATATTGTCTATCAGCTGGACAAAAAGCAAAAAAAAAAAAGGTTCCTGAATAATTTAAGTTTCTTCAAATATTGTTGCTGTTCTGCGGGTGGCTGGTTTTTAAAATAAACTTAGGGACTAGCTTTATAAAATACATAGAGAAGACCAGTGCTAAGCTAGGGCATCAACATGGTGGCGGATGTAAACATCATGTGGTTTTGGTAACCTCTTTTAGTTTGACAGGGAAAATTGTATACATTTCATAGTGTAGGTCTTGATAAGTAAATTTATAAAATCTAGATCTAAATCAAATTTGAATGAAAAAGCTCATTTCTTTATATTCTAAAACTGGAAGAGGACACCATTGGTGTTGTGTTCTTTCCGTAGTTTACAAAGGCTAAACCAGATGAGTAGAGTAACAATAATGTCCCCTAGCCTTCATTGCACTACCTGTAAACAAATTAATAAATCCATATACACAAAACTTTATACATGCACATATATTAGTTCCCAGCCATACGAATAAAATAGCATTGAAAGTTTTTACAATTGTTGCATTAAGGAAGCCGTATGATTTTTAAATCTTGAGGCTGCCATGTTTTTTTTTTGTTATCAATATAAATCCCGATCACAACAATTTATTTAGTTAAAAAAATTTCATCTCTCCCTGGCTAACAGGACTTGAATTTAAGTGAGAGAGAACAAGTACTTACAAGTCCTATTGTGTACAAATATTGTCACAAAACTAAAAAAAACATTAGTGCCAAAACACCTGAAGAAAGCAAGTGTTTATTAAGTTATTTATGACAGTTTAGAAATGTAGTTAAAATTAATTTTAAAACTTTTATTACATATTTGTAAAAGATTAAGCACTTATTACAAACATTTAAAGACTAACTAAAGCAAATCAAGTTTTGATTTTTTGTTATTATTAATATCTTAGTATTTCTATTTTTAAAAATAATTTTTAAGAAACTGGTAGCTTAAGATGTTAATCTGCAGTCCTGATTGCTTTGCATTACTGGTTGTCTATTTTAAAATTACATCTAAGTAATCATTAGTAATCAGACTGACAAAAGTCTGGCATGTGTTACAAATTTTGCCATGTTATTAGTAATAAGTTGTTTTGGTGATTTAATCACCAGTTTAACATTTACATTTTTTAATCATCAGTTCATATCTAAGAAGCTGTCCAGCATGGAGGTGGAAACAGATGTGTTAGCTGCAGTTTCATCTACTGTAGATGTACAGTCAAATGAATTGACAGAGTTTTCATCTTCTGAAGATTTGAAACCAGATCTATCGACCATATGTTCATCTTCTGCTGGCATCAAAACAGAATTATTGTCATTTTATAATTCTCAGAATATAAAACCTGACATGACATTTAAAACCACTCAAGATGTTAAACCTGATGTTACACCAGATTTTTCTTCTTCTGCTGACATCAAAACAGAATTATTGACATTGATTAATTTCCAGGATATAAAACCTAACATGTCATTTAAAACTTTTCAAGATGTTAAACCTGATGTTAATTCAGAATTTTCTTCTTCTAATGACATAAAACCAGAATTATCATTTTTTAATGTTCAGGATATAAAACCTAACATGTCATTTAATACTTCTCAATATGTAAAACCTAAAATTACATGTTCAATTGAAAAAAAAATAAGAAACCAGCTGCATCAGCAGTATTTTCAACATCTGAAAATTTAAAACCAGAATTATCATCTTCTGAAAATTTAAAACAAGATTTCACAACAGAATTTTTATTTTTTGAGGATAAACAAGAAAATGGACTTGAAGAAAATCTACAATTGTCTAGGGACAACGGAAATAAAATTGTTTATTATAATCCAACATTTTCTCAAAGTTCTGAAAGTAATATGCATAACAATGTTCATTCTAAAGATAAGCCATATAAGTGTGAGGTCTGTCTTAAAAGGTTTTCTCAAAGTTCTAACTTAAATAAACATAAAAAAATTCATACAGGAGAAAAGCCATATAATTGTGATGTTTGTCATAAAAGGTTTTCTCATAGTTCTGGTTTAAGTTATCACAAATATGTTCATTCTGAAGTTAAGCCGTATGAATGTGATGTTTGTCATAAAAGGTTTTCAAATAGTTCTAACTTAAATCAACATATTATGATTCATTTAGGAAAAAGGCCACATAAATGTGATGTTTGTCATAAAAGATTTTCTACAAATTCTTATTTAAAAAAACATAAAAAAGTGCATTCAGGAGATAAGCCACATGAATGTGATGTTTGTCTGAAAAGATTTTCATATAGTTATCATTTAAGAGAACATAAAAAACTTCATTCTGGAGATAAGCCATATGAATGTGATGTTTGTCATAAAAAGTTTAGTCAGAAGATAAATTTATCATATCACAAAAATGTTCATTCTGGAGATAAGCCATATGAATGTGATGTTTGTCATAAGAAGTTTTCTCAAAGGTCTAACTTTAGTACACATAAAAAGAAGCATTCAGGAGATAAGCCACATGAATGTGATGTTTGTCTGAAAAGATTTTCATATAGTTATCATTTAAGAGAACATAAAAAAGTTCATTCTGGAGATAAGCCATATGAATGTGATGTTTGTCATAAAAGGTTTTCAAATAGTTCTAACTTAAATCAACATATTATGATTCATTTAGGAAAAAGGCCATATGAATGTGATGTTTGTCATAAGAAGTTTTCTCAAAGGTCTAACTTAAGTACACATAAAAAGAAGCATTCAGGAGAAAGACCACATGAATGTGGTGTTTGTCATAAAATCTTTGTGGAGAAGAAAGATCTATTACGACATAAAATTATTCATTCTGCAGATAAACCATATGAATGTGATGTTTGTCTGAAAAGATTTTCATTTAGTTATCATTTAAGAGAACATAAAAAAGTTCATTCAGGAGATAAACCACATGAATGTGATGTTTGTCATAAAAGGTTTTCTAGAAATTCTAATTTAAAAAAGCATAAAAAGGTTCATTCAGGAGAAAGGCCACATGAATGTGATGTTTGTCATAAAAGGTTTTCTCATAGTTCTAATTTAAGTAGACATAAAAAGATTCATTCAGGAGAAAAGGTGTATAATTGTGATATTTGACATAAAAGGTTTACTCGAAAATCTAACTTAGGTAAACATAAAAAGATTCATTCAGGAGAACAGGTGTATAATTGTGATGTTTGACCTAAAATCTTTGCAAATAAGAATAATCTATTACAGCATTAAAAAGTTCATTCATTAAAAAGGTCACATGAATGTGATGTTTGTCATAAAAAATTTGTGGATATGAAGGATCTCTTACGACATAAAATTGTTCATTCTGGAGATAAGCCATATGAATGTGATGTTTGTCTGAAAAGATTTTCAAATAGTTCTCATTTAAGAACACATAAAAAGGTTCATTCAGGAGATTAACCTCATGAATGTAATGTTTAATATAATGTTTTCTCAATATTCTAATTTAAGAACACAAAAAAAGATTCATTCAGATCAGGGGTCTCCAAACTACGGCCCACGGGCCAGATGCGGCCCGCGAGGTCCTTTCATCCGGCCCACGGAGATCTTTTTGTTTACGGAAATCTTTATGATTGTCTGCTAACAGGATTATAGTCATACGCTCCTAATTATGAAGCTCTGGCCAATTAACTGTGATGCCAAAGATCACATTGACTTTATTATATTTTTTAATTAAATGTTTTCTTTGTATTTATGTATTGTGTTTACAAAACGTACAGAAAGTAGGTGAGTCGAAATCTATATCATGATTTTATTAAGTTCATGTTTGAAAATAAGATTAGCATAAATATGTCAAACCGAAAAATGATTCAATTTTATATTCCACTTTTTTCAACAATGGGAACTTTTCTCACTTCGGACTTTCTGCCTGTGAAGGCACTAGCCGTTCCAGGTTAGCGTAAATAGTGCAGTCTGGCTCGCCGCTAGACAAGTTTTGTAAACACATTTCTCTGTGTGTATGCAATTTGAAAAAAATGCCAAATAATTTTATTATTTTGAAACATTTTTGTTTATTATTTATGAATACATTATGACTATAAGAAAATAATAAATTATTGGAAAATGACAAGTTATGGAAGGAGTTTGTCGATTTAAAATAGGTGGTGCCCGCCACCCTACCGATATTTTAGAATGTGCTCTAGAGTAAAGAAAGGTTGGGAACCCCTGATGTAGGATGTACAATTTAAAGATTAACCACACATTTCAATGCCATAAATGACATTAATTTTTTTTTTACAGCATAAAAATTATAAATATGAAGAAAAGGAAGACTAGAGCTGCCATTTTTACATTTTGGTATCTTAGTTTCAACATAATGTAATTTTTGGCTAGTTATTATTTAATTTTGTATTCCTTACTATTAAAAAAAATAGCCTTGTAATGTAAATTCTAATGTAGTGAATCTTGAAATTCTAACGCGAAAATTTAAAGAAATAAAATGGCTAAAGCATGTGTCTAATTTTATTATTATTGTTTTTCTAACAACACTTTCTGTATGTAAATTCCAATGAGGCCAATGTGTTTGAATGATGGGGTGTATTTTCCTCTCTTGTGATGCTCCAAAGCCTGTACTTGCAAGTTAGGTAAGGTCAGTGTCGGACAACATTTGTCTGTTACTAATGTTAGTGTGAGCGGGTGAATGGATGTCTTATTTTGTATTATTTTATTGTGTGCGAATCTGCGTGAATGGTCCACTTGACAGCGGCTACAGGGTTTCCCGTTCCGCACGAAGCGGTCAGTATAAAAACTTACCGCTCGGATAATTTCTTTCAGTTGACCCGAGGCGAGATGTAGATAAGATCAGTTTCTGTGTGGGCTCACCTCGTGCGTGAAGGTATTTGTTTTTCCCCACGATTTCTTTAACTTGCTTTCGCGTCTGTTTGTTTGTCTTTCCATCAAATCTTGCGATCGAAATTTTGGGCACTTCCCAGTTAGCTAACGCGCTGCAATTTTCAGGGAAGCTTTGTTTCCGATGACAATACAATATTCAATTATTATTATTACTAAATTGATCTATGGAAAAATTTATTGATCATTTTAAACTCCTATTGATTTTTACAAAAAAAGGGACATAACCTAGTAATTGTAATTTGATAAAAACAAGGTTCGGTATTTTCCCTCTTCTGGCTTACTGTTCAATCAGAAAACGTGGGGTTTTTTTTTAATTTTTAAAATGATAATTATTTATTTTATTGGTATATGTGTGATTGGTATGAAAGCGACTGCCGATGTTTCTCGTTTTCTTTCTTTTTCGTCTGAAAAGAGTTAGTGGGCATCGGCTTGTCTGGTATACACGTGGTGTGTTCTTTTTTGAAAGATTTGAAATGTATTTTGGTATTTTCTAAAACCCTTGGCGTGTTTTAGACCACGTGGTTTAGGTCGTTGTGTATAGGATGGTTTTCCAAACTTGTTTGAGTGCGTTTGTGTATTTTACTTTATTATTTTAAAGTATTGTTATTGTGAGTTCCCCACGATGACTAAGTTGGGCTCAGTCACAAGTAATTTTGTTGTGGTTGTCTTAGACAGTAATGAGTGTGTTTTAGTTTGCCTCGAGTTTTAGGTTGCTGTAAATTTAATGTGTGTGATGTTTCTTACAACGTCATGTTGAGTCACTTGCTTTGTGTCTACCTTTATTAGGGCCTTAGCGGGGCGTGTTAACTGTATTGTTATCAATGTGGATGTTTTATAGGTAGACCAATGGCTTCGTGCTGCTCCTTGTGTAGGATAGATTGGTTCTACAATGATGATTTTTATTGCAAGTTATTTTAATTGGCTAATTTCTTTGTTAGACAGTGATTAATTTTGGTTTTGAGAATTGATTTAGAATTCTAGGATTAGTGGTAGTAGGTGGGATTAGTATTTTACTCGAGGCTTTTGATATCTTCAGTAGTAGTCAGTAGTATTTAAACATGTATATATTGATGTATATATTTTTCCATGCATTTCCTTATGTTTTCTTTTTCTTTTTTCTCTCCCCTCCCCCCTTCCAGTGAAGTTGTTTGTGCAACTTGGCTTGATTTGTATGGATTGTTTTGTTTGATGTTTGGTGCGGATATTAGATGGCATTTCGGTGGCAGTACTGGTAAGGATGGTTGTCTGTGTGTTCAGAGCCTAGACTATCCGAGGTACCGAAAGTACATAATATCCCATTGAATGTTGTGTTTTGTTTGTTTGGCATTGGTGATTTTTTAGTGTTGCATTAGGATGTTTTGAATTTGACTTAATGTTTACGTTTTTTTTTTGTTCCATTTTATTTCATGCAATAAATTCTGTAAATTGTTAGTTTTTTTGTTTTATTTTTAGTAGTTTGTGTTTTTATTTAGACTAAGGTTAAGGATAAGATTTGACCACCGTGGGTTTCACCACGGTTGCACTGACCAGTTACTAGTTAAGCCTAGGGAAGTGTAGATAGATAATATGGCCAATTACATAGGTTTATTCTCATCAAATGAAATATGGTCATTTGTTCTTAGTCTTTATGTTAATCATCATCATCTTCTTTTCGTGTCCAAGAACATGACGTAGAGTTCATTTTTCAGAGACTTCTGCACCTAAAGGGATAGTGTGGTCATCACTATGCCCAGCCGTTATTTGCTTTCCATAATGTGTCAGGTACACATCAGAGCTGGGTGGACTTAGGAACGTTCTACTGATTTTAACCCGCATTCAAACTCGACTTATTTTAGCAAATACTGTTAGTTTATTTAACCACATGCCACATACATTAATTTAACCTGCATTCAAGTTCGAGTCTTAATTTTGTAAATACTATAAGTTTTTTTAACAAAAGAGTTAATAGCTGGCCACATACAACATGAAAAACACAACCTCAACACAGAGGCGTACGCAGGGGGGGGGGGAGCACGGGGAGCGGCCGCTCCCCCTCTGGCCATTTTCAGCAAAGTGGCGCCTTTTTGGAAACTTTTTAAACTCAAAGTTTTAAACAATGATATTTGTTAAAAAAATATTTTTGGTCGGCACATCTATGTAAATCACAAGATTACTTTTCATGCAGCAATTAAGCATTATTGTACTAGTCTAGTACTGTCTACGTTTACAACACGTATTAACAGCTGCATCAGTTTGCCATTCTAAAAATAACCATTATGATGCAATGCAATGTTTAAAAAACATCTACGGGTGGTACCACTTGACAAGAGGGGTGTTAAGTTTAAATCCACGGTATAATGTATTTGTTTACGAATAATTGAATTCGAAAATGTTATACATAAAACTTCACACATAATTACTTTATATATACAGTTTGAATCGTGTGATTGATTTATAAAAAATTACAATACAGAAACAAATACAACTACTGTGACACCTCTATTTAAATTTACTTATGGGCAAACTGCGTAGCGGTGGGGAAAGTTCAACAACGTCATCACGATGAAGTAGTAGTATTCTTACAGTTTGGACGATACTGATTACGATTACAAATTATATTAAACAGTATCAAATTTAAATTAACTATTTTTTTAGTTTACTAGATCTAGATCTATATTAAATTTGAATAAGGCTATATTTTGTATTTAAAAAACAGCTCAACTTAAACTAACCCTGATAGCACTGTTAATTATCCGCTCAGCTGATGTATCGTTTGAACTTGTTTCCAATAGTTAGTAATTATCAAAAAGTAATCGCACCATTTAAATTATTTGGTGTATCATACTAACTATTTTGCGAATAAGACAACAGTTGCGCTTAGAATTCGTTAGTTAAAAGGTTATTAAATGGAAAGGAAACCAGAAAAGAATAAATATTCGGGGTGGGAGAGGAAGAGATTGAAAGAAATTTCAGATCGCCAACAATCGTCATCCAAATGTGTCAAACTGGATACATATTTTTCAAGCTGTATGCCTTTAACTGCTACAACAATACAACCAGAGGTTGATGTGTCTCAAGATACCCAAGTACAAAATGTACAAGCAACAACATCATCTAATATGCAGAATCAAGTCGTCGAGACTCAAGACAATAAGGTAATGTCTATAGACATTTTAGAAGACACACATTTAGAAGAGGATATTGACAGTACAATGCCAGTCAAACTTAAAGCTATAATCGATATAAATCTGGAATATCCTACAGATCCTTTTTTGTTTTGTGAAACACCCGTAACACCGGATCTGGTACGTGCATTACTTGAGTTTGGTCCTTGTCAACCAGGCCTCAAAGATACTTATAAAGATTTTCCCAAAAATGTAACTGGTCGGCACTTTAGTGCCAGTTGGTACAAGAAAAAAAACCACACAAAATGTGGTCGTGAAATAATACGACACTGGCTAGTATATTCGCCCAAGGCAAATTATATGATTTGTTTTGCTTGTTGGCTTTTTAAGCACAAGTCAGAAACTTGGGGCGATCCAAAATTGGGTTGTAAGAACTTTGCAAAAGGTCCCGACAAAATTAACAAACATGAAAACTCTGAAAGTCACAAGATTGCAGAGAGAGAACTTTTAATTACAAAGTTCCGACTTTACAACGACAGAACCATAATATGTGACATTTTAACACAAGAAAAAAGAAAATAGAAAAAAACAGAATAATACTGGAAAGTATTATAGATGCAGTTCTCTATTTGGGAAAACAGGGATTGGCGTTTAGGGGCCATCGTGAATCCCAAGGTTTAGGAGAAGCTACATTAAATGAAGGCAACTTTTTGGAACTTATTAAACTCATTTCTAAGAAAGATGATTTGCTAAAACAACATTTACTTTTCGGTGACAGAAATGCAACATACTTAAGTCCGGGTATGCAAAACGACTTAATTAAGTCTATATCAGCCCAAATTTTAAAGAAGATAGTAGGTGAAATTAAGATAGCTAGGTATTTCGCTGTAATTGTAGATTCGACTATCGACATTAGTAGAATGGATCAATTTTCTTTGTCAATCAGATATGTTACTGAACATGGAGACGCCATCGAAAGATTTATCCAATTTTGTGAGCTTCCTGAAGCTAGTGCAGAGGTTTTTTTTTAAAACGCCTCTTACAGCAGTCACAGACTTAGGGCTGTCAATGACCATGTGCTATGGTCAGTCCTACGATGGAGCAAACACCATGTCTGGTGAAATATCGGGCGTACAAAAACGAGTTAGAGAAATAGCTCCACATGCACTCTTCACACACTGCTGTGCTCATAATTTAAATTTAATTCTCTTAGATGCTGTTTTGTCTAATATTCAAACACAGCTGTTTTTTGGAGTTCTGGAAAGCATATATACATTTTTTACCGGAAGTCTACCTCGTCTTTCTATATTGCAAGAGGAGCAACGCAACAACATAGAAGCATTTTCATTAACACTGAAACGACTTAGTGATACAAGATGGGCTTCTAGAAAGACAGCAGTAGATTCTATATTGCAGAATTTACCAGCACTTGTTCTTGCATTGCGAAGAATAGTTGACGGTGAAGTTAAAAACTCTACTTCTAAACAGATTGCCGAAGGAAAGGGAATTCTTGTTACAATAGAGACCTTTGAGTTTTTAGTTGTTTTAATGTTTTGGAAAAGAATTCTGCATAAGGCTTTTAACGTATCCATTTATTTACAGAAGAGTAGCATTGATATGTTAACAGCCTTTCGATTAATTCAGATTTTTGAAAATGAGATGAGTAGCTGGAGAAATGAATTTGAATCAGAATTTGAGCAGATTGAGAACGAAGCCACTGAGCTCGCTGAGAAATGTGATATCCGTACGGAGTATAAGAAACACAGGTTATACAAACAGAAAATATTCCATGACGAACGAGCAGAGGATACTCAGATATCTGACTCTAGGAAAAAATTCATTGTTCAAACTTATTTAGTGTCACTTGACTCTGTCATAACTAGTACAAACACAAGTTTTCAAAATTTTAAAGATGTGTCTTCCAAGTTTTGTTGCTTAGACCCAAAAATTTAGCATTAGATGACAGTTTAATACAGTTGGAGCAATTAGCAGTGACGTACTCGGATGTTGTTGACAGTGTAACTGAAATAGTGCAGGAATTCGTATCATTTAGAACATTTTACCAAGAGGTTTTTAGTGTAAGCAGTGTAAACAAGGGAGTTTCAACTGAAAAAGAACCTCTAGAAATAGCGGTGACAGTAAACAGCATTCTGAAATTCATGATAGCTAATGACTTGTGTTCCATGTATCCAAACCTGGCCACTTTGTATCGTATATTTCTGACTTTACCAATAAGCAGTGCCGGAGTAGAAAGATCCTTCAGCCGTCTTAAACTCCTGAAAACATACATTCGTTCTACTATGAACGAAGACAGGTTGTCCAGCTTAGCCCTGATTACGATTGAACGACAATTAGCTTCTGATGTTGATTTAAAAGACGTAATTGATCATTTTGCTAAAATGAAACCTCGACGAAAAAGGATGTTGTAGTTCTAACAGAAGTCCTAGAGTACAGGATAAAACAAAATTGCTATCAAATATAGGCCTAACTAAATTATTGTTGTTTCTTTTTAAATTTAAAACGAATACCGTTTTGTACAACTGATTAAGCAATACAAATATCTTCATTTACGTGTCTTATGCATTCCAATTTTTAGAAGACATAATGCTATTATAAAGTGAATTGTACGAGGACGACAAAAACAGACTACGCCCTATATTATATATATATATATATATATATATATATATATATATATATATATATATATATATATACGTATATATATATATATACGTATATATATATATATATATATATATATACGTATATAGAACATATTACAAATTCGGCGCCTTTTTTGCTATTTTTCGCTCCCCCTACACTGAAAACCTGGATACGCCTCTGCCTCAACACCAACGCAATTAGAAATGAATCTCAACTATATTGTTTTACTGCTGAGAAAATAAACCGGGAGTGATCTCCCCTAAACTTTCTCGAATATTCTTATACGAGAAAAATGGCCCGTTGAGGAAGGATACAACGGGCGAAATAAAATGGCTAAAGTGAATGTTAAATTTTATTATTATTGTTTTTCTAACAACACTTTCTGTATGTAAATTCCAAGGAGGCCAATCTGTTTCGAATGCTGGGGTGTATTTTACTCTCTTGTGATGCTCCAAAGCCTGTACTTGCAAGTTAGGTAAGGTCAGTGTCAGATAACTTTTGCTTGTTAGGACTTTAGTTACAAAGGAAACATTTGACATTTTAAACACTTGTTTTACTATTTTTTATCAATTACAAGTAAAATAAAATTTATAAAAATGATTGACTTATGGGTGTTCTGCAGTAGTGAGTCGTTTTCTCAAAAAAATGGTTTTGCCATAAACTTCTATAGCCCAACTGCACAAGAAGTGCACAATCTGTGCTCAGATAGCACTAACGATCTTTATCTATAGTCGGTTATAAATTCAGCTGGTTGTAGCATATTTTCTCTATCATTAGCAGGTTTAGGTCATTGTGTCACCCTCCCCACCCCCTCTGCGCTCTTGTCGTCGGGATTGGTCAACTTTCCTCATAAAAGACTATGTAACTCACTCTAATTATTATTTAAGTGCAATTATCATTTTTCTGTATACATTTTGCCCCTTTTTTTTTCTTGGTGTCACTCCCCTAAATGGGGTCACACGGAGTGGTCCGCATTTAGAAACAGCCTGTTTTATCCTGACTGAGCAATGGAGATAACTCATTTGTAAGTTTGTCCTTGCCACATGAAATTCAAGTTATTTAATCTTAGTATTGTTGTAAAAATTGTTAGTTCATTTAACAACCCAGCTAAAACCATGCCACACACATAATGGTGAAATAGAAATCGATTGCAACACACAACTCAAATAGAATCTAAAAATAATCACATTTTATTGCTGTGACAAAAGTAATGTCAATATTTATTTAAGAAATTAACAATAACTAAAAAGCAAACAGGAAAAAATATTGATAAACAAAACTATCAGATTATTCATAATACCGCTTATTAGTTGACAATTTAAAATACAATACACATTTTCGATAATAAAAAATGATTATTAATTTTTTTAAAAATAACTTTATAGATACAATGACAAAAATAAATTTAAACGTTACTATTTTTAGTCGTGATGGCTGCCAGTAATAACAAAGCCTAGAGAAAAATTAAAATGTTATCATTGTGGAAAACTGATGCTTTTCCAATTTTACATGACATTTTATAAAAATATGGTAAATATATTTAAATGTATAATAAGTTTTATTAATAATTCTTAATAAAAATACTTCTAATACTATCGGTAACACTGCAGATTACAAAATCCAGAGTCCTATATTCAAACACTTATGACAGCACTAGAGAGGCTAAAAAATACCTGCAGCAAAATTGTGCTGCAGTGGATCCCGGGCCACTGCCAGATACAGGGTAACGAGATCGCAGACCAGCTGGCAAAAATTGGGGGAAAGAAACCACAACCGGAAATTTCGCTACACCCAAAAGAAATAAAAAGAATTATAAAAAACAAACAAACGCAAATGTGGTCTGTCACACACCCTCACTACATTAAAGACGACGGCTATTATAATTTAACACGAAAACAACAATACATAATCTTTCGACTTAGAACAGGCCACAACAGACTAAATCAACACATGCACAGAAAACTGAAGGTTGGGTGTAGCGAAATGTGCCCTAGTGGCGAGGCCCCGGAAAACACGGAGCATGTACTCCAGGAATGCACTTTGTATAGCCAGGCACGAGACAGACACTAGCCCCAGCCCACCCCACTCAGGGAAAAATTATATGGGGCACCTGACAAACTGGAGACCACAGTCCGGTTTGTCCACGAAGTTGGACTTGTTCTCTAAATCCTCCACCATATTCACAATTAAGAACGAAGAAGAAGAAAGAAGAAGACTGCAGATTAACTTGAGTTTCTACACACATTTTTAATATAATTTTTAAAAGCGAAGGCTTAAATCCTCATTAAAAATGTGCATCAAGTTAGTTGAAAAATTACAGAATCAGCAATATGAAAAAATTTAGTAGGGAAAAGCAGAAATACTTTTGTTTTCATTATGTTTTTTTTTGTTTAAATTAACAGTACACAATGCATATGTAAATGTGCATAAAGACCTAATATCCACCTTAGCTATATGTAGTAATTTAGTAAAATGTTGTGTTGGATATGACAAGTGATAAAAGAAACACATATTTGAACTAAGGTACAGTATGCACTTTAAAATCTAACTGTAGAACTGTTGCACAAGTTTGATAAATAACAACATAGAACAATAAAAATGGGGTTTAAGTCTTGATTGCTAAGCTCAGCTTGCTGTGAATCATTAGACTCAATGGTAATTTATAGAAGTGTGATAGGTGAATTTATTTCTCATGTTTTTTTAAACTACATAAATGTATAAAGTTGCAAAGGTGTATGGACAAACTGATGTAATGACAAGGGTACTAAACTATCAAAAACTTGTATGTAAGTATTACAAATGTGTAGTTTTTTAACAACCTCAACTTGACATTTTCCTATTTCAGGATCTTATTTATCTTACAGTATGGCTTCATGGCAGTAACTCCAGTTACAAAAGAAATATTTGACATTTTAAACACTTGTTTTACTGTGTTTTTATCAATTACAAGTAAAATAAAATGTTCTGCAGTCGTGAGTCGTTTTCTCAAAAACAATGGTTTTGATATAGGCCTAAACTTTATAACCCAACTGCACAAAAAGTGCACAATCTATATATAATTATCTTCTTGAAGACGATAGCAAACACCAAGCTGTAAGCACGCTCCCTACCCTACCACCCCCATCCCTACATGGTCTGGTGAACTGTGGTTCACACTAAACTAAATGTTTACAATCGTAGAGCCAGGTTTAGTGACGGCTATTAGGGGCAGATAATGTAGTTTGAAACTATTTTAAACTTAGGGGAGGTAACTAATAGGAGTTTGCTTTCAGGGGGGGGGGGGTGTATCGTCCTTAACGACCATCTGATAGTGTTTTAAAGCAAATATTTTCAGTGGCAGCATTGGTACTGTCGAATTCACAAATTATGAATTACTGAAAAATAGAAAATAAAACAACTAAATAGCGGCGCATGATACGCCTTGGGTCGGCTCGTCCAAATTATTACTATTATAAAAGCTTATAGATTAAGTTTAAGGTGCCAGAAAGTAGGTTGAAGTATCCATAACTTAGGTTACTCCTTTTTTATGATTTTTACCTCCCCTCCATCCAAAATCTTGTCTGAACTCTGTCAACATAGAGTATTTTAATTAATTTCTATTACAATTTATTAGAACAGTTTTCTAAATCGCAAATTATCGGCTAAAATTCGTTTTCTAACATTGCTTTTTTAATAATGCAAAAGTGTGACGTCACACTATCTGACATTCCCCCCTCCCCATCATCATACACCATAAAAAATTACGGACCCCCCACCGCCTACGAGTGTGACGTCATTTATGGACGACCCTTTGGCCTGTAGCTGTATGGATCCTGGATGTTACTTGTTTGTGTAGTTGTATAACATAAGTGTGCTTAAAACAGTGGGTGGAGAAGCATTTTTAGGACACTTCCGCCTTAATTGGGAAACGGAAAATTAATTATATCAAACAACTACATATAAAGTCGGTGATGAATGACTAAACTAATGAAAATAAAATACATGAGCTTATTTTGTATTCAGCGTTTGTCAGAATAAAGAGGAAGTATTATGATCGTGCTGGATAATTAACAGATATTTTGAAAGATTTTACAATCTTTCACCTCTCTACTTGATCATGGAAAAGGAAACACTGCGATTTTGCCTGTATGTCTGTAAACACGATTACTTGACAGAGCGACCTCTCCCGGCGCCCGGGGACGAACTATATATATATAGGGGTCCATGGGAGAGGTTATAACCCCCCCCCCACAGGGCCGGCGCTACATATAAGGCGAACTAGGCGGTCGCCTAGGGTGCTGTCCGTAGGGGGGCGCCTAAATGGGTTGGAAAAACAAATTGAAAGTTTGAAGGGGGGGTGCAAATCGAAAGTTTGACGGGGGTGCAAATCGAAAGTTTTTTTAGGGGGTTCCTAATCGAAAATTTGTCCGCGGGAAGGGTCGCTACGCCTCTGATAATACGGGGGTACGGGGGTAGGGGGGGTGGTGGCGCTTTTAATAAGTTTTGCCCCAAAATTAGGTGTTTTAAACGGACGCGAATTTTGAAAATTCATAATAAATTGTTTTGAAGATATGCACTTAAATTTTTTAGCTCCGTGCCCCAAAATATGGAAGAAGATTATGAATTCATTATTTATTGGGCTTAAAATATAATATTTTATGGAAGGTGGAAAACCTACGAAGGGGTTAGTTTTTCAAGATGGCCGCCGTTGTCATAGTTACCAAGAATTTTCCAAGAATTTTTTTAGTGGAAATGCATATGCGGATGTATCTTAATAAAGCTG